GTTATGACCCTTATGGAGGGAGGGAAATATCAGGGGGAAAGCGCTAAGCCATTACGACTATATAGCACTGGGAAGGGGGTCAGAATTTGGGATGGGCCGGAGGGAAGGAATGGTGCCCAAGCACTTGTTGGACGGTCGGGGATTGAACGCCGACCTGCATGAAGCGGTCTCAGGTTCCAGGGGAGACCACATCCCTCCCAAGGTGTGGTCAGGCCCCTGCCACACTCCTGCCTCACATTCCCCCCCCCTCCCCCCACATCCTCCTTCCCTCCCCCCCCCCCCACACCTCCATAGGACAAGGGGGGCATAATGAAAAGTCTGCTGAATGTATTGTATCGTTGTTGTTATAGATTGAACTACTCGGAGTAAGTTCCAAGTAGCACGGGCTATAGTGAGCCCGTAGTGGACTTACCTGGCACAGGAGCGAGGCAAGTAGCACGGGCTATGGTGAGCCCGTAGTGGACTTACCTGCCACAGGAGCGGTGCCATATTGTATGGGATCCATAGATGTGAGGCGGCTCTTGTACAGCCGCTCAAGTGCGACAATAGATGGCTAGCTATTGCAGATTTCACTGATCTATTAAGATCTATTAAGTTTTATTGAACTTCCTACTCCTCCCCCCCCCCCCCTCGTCCAACCACTTGGGCTGGACGGTAGAGCGACGGTCTCGCTTCATTCAGGTCGGCGTTCAATCTCCGGCCGTCCACAAGTGGTTGGGCACCATTCCTTTCCCCTCCGTCCCATCCCAAATTCTGACCCCCCTTCCCAGTGCTATATAGTCGTAATGGCTTGGCGCTTTCCCTGATAGTTTTCTTTCTCCCCCCCCCCCTGCGTGTCTTATAGTTCCTTGCGGTCCGGAAGTGGTCAGGAGACCACAAGACACATTCTTATCTCACAAACAACCCACTCTTCCCAACCACTATTTCCTCCTTAAGATAGCAACTCAAACACATTAATCTTAACTTTTCCTCCCTCCCACTTCCATCTGTTCCCTCTATCTCTATCTCTCCTTCCGTCGCCTGTCCCATTCCCTATCCTCCTTTCCCCGGGGAGCCGGTCGGCCGAGCGGACAGCACGCTGGACTTGTGATCCTGGGTTCGATCCCAGGCGCCGGCGAGAAACAATGGGCAGAGTTTCTTTCACCCTATGCCCCTGTTACCTAGCAGTGAAATAGGTAGCTGGGTTTTAGTCAGCTGTCACGGGCTGCTTCCTGGGGGTGGAGGCCAGGTCGAGGACCGGGCCGCGGGGACACTAAAGCCCCGAAATCATCTCAAGATAACCCCCCAGGAGTGGCTAGCCCCTTGGGTGGTATTGATGGTATCTCTAACAAGCTGCAGGCCTGGAGCCAGATTCACGAAGCAGGTACGCAAGCACTTACGAACGTGTCCATCTTTCCTCAATCTTTGACGGCTTTGGTTACATTTATTAAACAGTTTACAAGTCATGAAAACTTGCCAATCAACTGTTGTTATTGTTATAAACAGCCTCCTGGTGCTTCGGAGCTCATTAACTGTCTAATAATTGTAAACAAAGCCGCCAAAGATTGAGAAAAGTTGTACAGGTTCGTAAGTGCTTGCGTAACGGCTTCGTGAATCTGGCCCCGGGTTCGTAAGTGCTTGCGTAACGGCTTCGTGAATCTGGCCCCGGGTTCGTAAGTGCTTGCGTAACGGCTTCGTGAATCTGGCCCCTTGCCGCTCTGGTAACGTTGGCAGGCCTGATGATTTGTGTGTGTATCCCTCTGGCGCACAGGAAATATTGCACGTTCTCTTCCAATTTGCAACTCCGTTAAAATTGCAACTGATTTGGCCTAACCAGAAACGTACAAACCCCAACAACCCACCTCACCCATCGAGGCCCCGGCGAGCCGAAGTCGTCAGTATTACGGCGCTTTAACTCGTGCTGATTGGGACACGTTTTTTAACGGATTGGTCGGATTGGTTAAAGCCGGTGAGAGGTGTTATTTTTCAAGCCGAGGAAGTGGCTAGTGTTTGTGTTCCGAGAACGGGCAGAGATTTATTGAAGAGGGGGGGGAGCAATGTGTGTGTGTGTGTGTGTGTACTCGCCTAATTGTGCTTGCGGGGGTTGAGCTCTGGCTCTTTGGACCCGCCTCTCAACCGTCAATGAACAGATGTTCAGGTTCCCGAGCCTATTGGGCTCTATCATATCTACACTTGAAACTGTGTGTGTGTGTGTGTGTGTGTGTGTGTGTGTGTGTGTGTGTGTGTGTGTGTGTGTGTGTGTGTGTGTGTGTGTGCAGGTAGGGAAGGAGGGGGGGGGGGGGGGGAATAGCTCCGTCATGGGGACAATGGGTAATGGTGAGAAGTGGGGAGTTATCCTTGGACGCTCTGTGGCCGATGGTGACGTGGGAGAGGGTGGGAGAAATCTCCTCCACAGTCAGGGGGTCACCATCTACTGTGGGAGGTCCCCCTGGGGGCCTTTGCTACTGTGGGATACTGTAATGACAGTTCGTGGGAGATTCAGATCAACAGAGAACATTATTGATGTGACATCGTTGGGTTGTTTCAAGATAAGGTCAGACATGTCTTGTAAGGGGCGATACAAGGACTGCTTCGTATGGGCTAACATGAGGCACCTCTCTCCATCTCTCCCATTCTCTATCTCTCATTTTAACCCTCCACCCAGTAGACAAAACATGCTAGAATAATAATGAATTGATATTATTGAAATTGAATCTCCCCCCACCCCTCACCCCCCTTCCCCATACAAGGGGGCAAGCAGGTAAGGACTGAAACTACTATATGGGTCTGAGATTGCTTTTCTTTTCACATTTTGCTTTTGCCTTTCTTCTTGTTCCATTTCTTTTTTTTAATTGTATTAACAACTCCATGGAAATCACACGACATATTTCACACGTCATGAAAATGGCCTGTGTTGAGGGTCTGTATAATTTTTAAATATTTCTTGAGGGATTTAACTTAGACCTATCCTAACTAGCCTATGTCTGTCCCATACCACAAACTATTCATCCTGCGAATTTGGGTGAGACTAGCCCTCCGCGTCTGGCCTCCAACTTTGGACAAACAGACTGACGTTCTGTAACATCAATAATGTGGGGGGTGAGGCAAGTGTGTGAACCTCCTATTATCTTCGGGAGGGATAATAATGCCTGGAGAATCTCCCGGCTTGTGGATAACCGCATCCTGGTCCTCCCCGGAGCCTCGAATCCAGCATATCCTGTTAAAGCTAAATTATTTTGGTCCGTTGCTATATTTTTCAAGACCCGGGATCGGAGGCATTCGGCTCGCTCTCCCTTACCTTGTGTAGTCCTTGATTGGTTCACATCTTTCTCCCTCACTCAGCTTGCGTCTCTTAGACGCAGCCGTGCCTCCCCTATCCTTGTATCTTCTATCCTTGTCTCCCCTATCCTTGTCTCCCCTATCCTTGTCCTCTATCCTTGCTCCTTCAGTGTGGCGGTGTGTTCACTCACAGGATGAGTGACGCTACCCAATAAATTCATCTTCACGGGCAAAATATAGAGATACCGTCGGCATGTTTTAAGTGATAAAAACGTGTTTCTGCGGTGGCCGGTCCCAGGCTAGGGCCGTGGTGGGAGGCCGGTCCCAGGCTAGGGCCGTGGTGGGAGGCCGGGTCCAGGCTAGGGCCGTGGTGGGAGGCCGGGTCCAGGCTAGGGCCGTGGAGCTAACGTGGCCTGTAGCCCCCGTGGCTAACGGGGCCAAGAGCTAACTTCCCGATTCAGCAAACCCAAATAGTAAACAAATATACACACATGCCTCACCCCCCTACACCTCCTCACCATCCCCCCCCTCCCACACACACACCTGACTGAGATTTACTTAATGGCAAATAGTCAATACATAAAGTTGCTGCGTGATGGCTCCAGACAGCTGGAAAAGCCTCGCACCGCCTAACGGTTCGTCTCGTAGTCGTGCCTATCATTTCCAGATCTCTCGGCCTCCATAAGCGCCAGGGAGTGGAATTTCCGGGTATTTTGAGTGATTGTGATGGACGTTGCGGGTGAGGGCGACGTGTGAGGCGACGGCCGACCTGGGGATTATGGATGGTCTTCACGCCATGATAATATCCTCCATGTCTTTCCCGCCTTCGGGAAGAGGTCTTTGTCTGACGCCCCCGGCCGGCCGCCCCGTTCTCTACAGTTTCCGCGCCATTACCAGGGGGGGGCTTATTCATTCTTCCCCTCCCTCTCCGTCCCGCCCGTGTTTGTGTACGGGGCTTGGGTGGGGTGTTTGTGGTTGGTGAGGCAGGCAGGGTCTTGTTTGGTGGTGCTTGTGTAGGTTGGTTTGTGGTGTCTTGTTAAGAGGGTGTAAGTTTTATGGCTTAAGGTGGGCGAGGGTGGATTGTGGTGTGGGTGTAGGGCTGGGGTGGGTGTGGGATTCTTTGTTGGGGACAGGAAGCCTGCAGTTAATCTTACCCAGGTCCCCCATGGGCCAGCTACTGACATATCCCAGGATGCAACCCACTACAACTGGCTAACTCCCAGCGACCTATTTAAATACTACGTAAATAGAGGCACTAGGTGAAAGGAAACGTGTATAATAGATTCTGTCTTGCCCAAGACTCGAACCCAGGTCTCTCGGGTGCGAGGCGAGGACGTTAGCCGCTCACCCCACATCTTGTCGGCATGTTATGCCGAGGCTACACAGTTGATTGACACCTGAAAGGCGGGACCAAAGAGCCAGAGCTCAACCCCCCATAAGTACAACTAGACGAGTACAACTCTCACCTATACGGGTTATACTTCACATATTATACACACACAAATCACAATAGCGTGATGCATCAAATGAATAAATCCACAAGGGCCGTGATGAGGATTCGAACCTACGCCCGGGATGATCCGGGCGACTAAGGCAGCGTCTGGGATTATCCCGGGCGTAAGTTCGGACCCTCATCACGGCCCTTGTGGATTTGTGCACATGTTATGTATAGCTGTGACGGTCCGTGTTGGGTCCATGTTGGGTCCATGTTCTCTAGTCACACACATTGTTGCCTTGTGAATTACCTGTAGCGGATTATGAGTATGTATTCTAATACAATATTTCTCTCTCTCTCCTACAGTGGTGAAGTCACCCTTGAGCGGCGGTGCTCGTGGCGGCCCCCTGACACTCAACCTTCAAGCGGCACTCGGGACACCTCGGAGGAGGCCACCAGCCCCTCGGCGGCACCGGAGGGCCGAAGCCCCTCCAGGGCGTCGCAGGGGACGCCCGAGAACGCCCTGATCAGGGGCACAGGCGCCAGGACCTCGCGGCGGTCGCCCCTCCCGCGGTGTCCGTCGGCGGAAAGTCTCACGTCCTTCGCCGAGTCGTTAGTGACCCCTGGGGGGGCGTCTTCGCCGTCTCTAGTGCCGGCCAAGAGCACCCCCTCACTCCTCCACAATGCCCCTCACGCCTTCTCCGCCAAGCTCTCCGGTGTGAGCGCCGCCTTCCACTCCTCCAGGTAGGTACTCCGCCTTCAGGGGGGCCAGATTTACGAAGCGGTTACGCATGCACTTGCGAACCTGGGGCCAGATTTACGATGCAGTTACGCATGCACTTGCGAACCTGGGGCCAGATTTACGATGCAGTTACGCATGCACTTGCGAACCTGGGGCCAGATTCACGAAGCAGTTACGCATGCACTTGCGAACCTGGGGCCAGATTCACGAAGCAGTTACATAAGTACTTACGAACTAGGGGCCAGATTCACGAAGCAGTTACGCAAGCACTTACGAACGTGTACATCTTTCCTCAATCTTTGACGGCTTTGGTTACATTTATTAAACAGTTTACAAGCATGAAAACTTGCCAATCAACTGTTGTTATTGTTATAAACAGCCTCCTGGTGCTTCGGAGCTCATTAACTGTTTAATAATTGTAAACAAAGCCGCCAAAGATTGAGAAAAGATGGACAGGTTCGTAAGTGCTTGCGTAACGGCTTCGTGAATCTGGCCCCAGGTTCGTACGTGCTTGGGTAACTGCTTCGTGAATCTGGCCCCAGGTTCGTACGTGCTTGGGTAACTGCTTCGTGAATCTGGCCCCAGGTTCGTACGTGCTTGGGTAACTGCTTCGTGAATCTGGCCCCAGGTTCGTACGTGCTTGGGTAACTGCTTCGTGAAGCTGGCCCCAGTACAACATCTGCCACTAAGCACCATAGGGGTTGGGTTCCTTGGTCTCGACTGCTTCACTAACGGCTTGTGATCAACGCGGCTGTTGTGGTCGTTAATAACGCAACACGACGCTTGTATCAGATGTGGTTTTGCACAATCAGATTTTTTGCCATTTTTAAATCATTTATTGTGTCGGGGGACACTCAGCCAGTGTGTATGTACGTCTTGTTAGGCTTTATTTCGAGCTGCTCCTCCATGGTCGTAATAGCTTTGCGCTTTCCCCTTGATAATTCTCTCCCCCCTCCTTCCCAGGGTCTAATGGCTTGGCGCTTTCCCCTGATAATTCTCTCTCCCCTACTCCCCCAGGGGCGAACTACTGACCCTTCCCCTGGTTGCAACCCCTCAACAAGCTAACTTACTCCTGAGTACCTATTTACTGCTAGGTGGACAGGGGCATTAGGTGGATGGATAACGCGCTGAGCCATATCTGTGAGGTGCCATAGGCACAATCAGAGAACACTGTATAAACATCAGAGGTCCGCGGATGTTTAACGTCCTCCCAGCAAGCATAAGAAATATTGCCGGAACAACCGTGGACATCTTCAAGAGGAAACTAGATTGTTTTCTTCAAGAAGTGCCGGACCAACCGGGCTGTGGTGGGTATGTGGGCCTGCGGGCCGCTCCAAGCAACAGCCTGGTGGACCAAACTCACAAGTCAAGCCTGGCCTCGGGCCGGGCTTGGGCAGTAGAACAACTCCCAGAACCCCATCAAGCAGGTATATGTGGGCCTGCGGGCCGCTCCAAGCAACAGCCTGGTGGACCAAACTCTCACAAGTCAAGCCTGGCCTCGGGCCGGGCTTGGGGAGTAGAACAACTCCCAGAACCCCATCAAGCAGGTATTTCTACCCCACCAGGGATTCGAACCCAGAACTCCCAAGTACGAGTCAAGACCATGTTCTCTCTGGGAGAAGAGTGCATGTGTTCAACACCCTCACTTTATACAAACGTTGTGTAGACTAAAATACAGGTGTATACTTGGAGAATACTGAGAGAGCTTAAAAGGCGACGGTCTCGCTTCATGCAGGTCGGCGTTCAATCCCCGACCGTCCACGAGTGGTTGGACACCATTCCTTTCCCTCCGTCCCATCCCTCCGTCCTTATATCCTGACCCCTTCCCAGTGCTATATAGTCGTGATGACTTAGCGCTTTCCCCCGATACTTTCCCTTCCCTTCTACTCGTTCAAAATACGTTCATAAATTTTGAACGTGTTTTTGTAACCCAAAGCGGCATTTCCTCGAATACAAATGAACATTTTATGTAGAAGATGCCAGCCACAACAGCCTGGGTAATAACATGGTTTGGCCAGCAGGAAGAGTGTCTCGTATTTTGAGGCCTGAGTTCGAGTCTCCGATGGCCCAAGTGAATGAAATTCAAATTTTATGTAGATCTTACCTCGTGCTGGTCTCCTGCGTGGTGATCTGGGGTCAGATTCACGAAGCAGTTACGCAAGCATTTTCGAACCTGGGGCCAGATTCACGAAGCAGTTACGCAAGCACTTACGAACCTGTCCATCTTTTCTCAATCTTTGGCGGCTTTGTTTACAATTATTAGACAGTTAATGAGCTCCGAAGCACCAAGAGGCTGTTTATAACAATAACAACAGTTGATTGGCAAGTTTTCATGCTTGTAAACTGTTTAATAAATGTAACCAAAGCCGTCAAAGATTGAGGAAAGATGGACACGTTCGTAAGTGCTTGCGTAACTGCTTCGTGAATCTGGCCTCAGGTTCGTAAGTGCTTACGTAACTGCTTCATGAATCTGCCCCCCCCTGGTCTACCTATTGTGAGCAAGTGGCACCAACCCTCACTGCTGATCATCCGGGCTGTGGTGTCTGCATCGTTGTGCAAACTGCAAGCACAAACAGCCTGGCCGGGCATGAAGGAGGTATAGCGTCCTAATACACAATTACCAACGAAAAGTTTCGGGTTTATCTTGTAATATGTAATTTTATTTCCCCTCGTGAGAAATATTTTTCCCCCTCAAAACAGAAAAAACACACCAAAAGTTTACTTTTATCGTTAATACAATCTAAAATACATAATAAAAAAAAATACAATCTGAGCCGTTCTGAGCGCCCGGGGGGGCGGGGGGGGGGTCGTCGGCGCACCTGATTGGCTGGGAGACTGAGGTATGCAAATGAGCGTGACATCATGGTGATTCACCCCACGACTGCTGTAATGGAAGAGTCGTAGAGTCGTAGTTTGGTAGTAATTATACCTCTCCCTCTTGGCCCAACTTTATTTTCATTACCTGAATTATGCCTCTGGTAAGTGGGTGGGGGGGGGGCGGTCCGGGGCTGACTTAAGACAAAATAAAGATGGTTATTAGTTTTAGAGGAACGAGGCAAGGCTAAGGGGGCCTTGACGGCTGAGTGGACAGCGCTCGGGGATTCGTAGTCCTGAGGTTCCGGGTTCGGTCCCCCGGTGGAGGCAGAATTAAATTAGGCAGAGTTTGTTTCATTCTGATGCCTCCTGTTCACCTAGCAGTAAATAGGTACCTGGGAGTTAGACAGCTGCTACGGGCTGCTTCTTAGTGGGGTGTGTAACAAAAAAGGAGGCCTGGTCGAGGACCGGGCCGCGGGGACGCTAAGCCCCAAAATTATCAAACAAAGGCTTAAAAGCTCATTCCATCCACCCGCCAAACCCCACCTGTTTATGAATGAAAAACGGTTTACACACGACTCACAACTGCTGACGTTCGAACACTTCCGGAACAAGTGCTTCACTGACGACTTGTGTTCGAACCACAACGCTGTAAATGCTTCATTCACGTACTATAAATAGTCGTCAATAGAACCTAAACACCTAACCTAACTAATGCCTAAATATGCACAGTATGTTAATATATAATGATATTAATGTATATATTTGAGAAAATACCCATTTTGAATGACCTGCATGTAAAAGTTGATGAATGTGACTTTGGGGTCGACCGCTGGATGGAATGGACTTGGTCTTAGGACGGTTTGTGACCTCAGACTCGATATATTGCTATCTAGACTCGATATATTGCTATCTAGACTCGATATATTGCTATCTAGACTCGACATATTGCTATCTAGACTCGATATATTGCTATCTAGACTCGATATATTGTTATCTAGACTCGATATATTGCTATCTAGACTCGATATATTGCTATCTAGACTCGATATATTGCCATCTAGATTGAAACGATTTTTCTCCTAGATATATATTGCGTCATTGGGATTTTCTTGTATATTGAAAGTGTAATATCAAGACACACGTAACAATGCCTTCAGATTGGATCGTTTATATTCACCGGTCATTAACGTAGGAACTGGTCCATCGCCAGAGCGGTGGGGCGGGCCGGTGAATATATTGATCAAGTGTGGGAATAGAAGTCAGCACTTCTGAAAGGATTGAGAATTGATTCGGCAGTTTGGCTGAGTGAGGGGATATTCACTTGGTGTAAACAGGACCTGGCTTAGTGAATAATGATAGTTGTAAACAGGACCTGGCTTAGTGAATAATGATAGTTGTAAACAGGACCTGGGTGATTGAGGGATACTAGTTCGTTGTAAACAGGACCCTGGGTGATTGAGGGATACTAGTTGTAAACAGGACCTGGGTGATTGAGGGATACTATAGTTCGTTGTAAACAGGACCCTGGGTGATTGAGGGATACTATAGTTCGTTGTAAACAGGACCCTGGGTGATTGAGGGATACTATAGTTCGTTGTAAACAGGACCCTGGGTGATTGAGGGATACTATAGTTCGTTGTAAACAGGACCTGGGTGATTGAGGGCTACTAGTTCGTTGTAAACAGGACCTGGGTGATTGAGGGCTACTAGTTCGTTGTAAACAGGACCTGGGTGATTGAGGGCTACTAGTTGTAAACAGGATCTAATAGAGCAAGTGATACGGGTTTAGTGTAAATAGGACTTGGCAGAGTAAGGGATAATGAGAGCTTGGTGTAAACAGGACCTGTCTCTCGGTGGCCAATTAGACCTAGTCAGTGGTGTCTTCCCTTGTCCCTAAGTCAGTGGTTAGTGTCAGAGGTGATTACACGCTGCGTCAGTTGAGGGGTGATGGTGATTGGCCAATTATCTGGTAGTCTCAGGGTCGTTAGTAGTGACTTATTATCTTATTACTGCGTTACCTTTGCCTTCCTATTGGCGACTTTCGGCGCCGTGGAGAGGGGGGAGGACCTGCTGCATGGGTAACAGCTTCTCCCCCCCCCCCCGTAATCAACTTACCCTGGCTGTGCGCCGTGGAGAGGGAGGCCCTGCTGCATGGGTAACAGCTTCTCCGTATGAACTTACCCTGGTTTTTCGCCGTGGATAAGGGGGAGGGGGACCCGCTGCATGGGTAACAGCTTCTCCGTATCAACCTACCCAGGCTTTGAGCCCTGGAGAGGCCACTCCAGACCGACAACCAGAGCCCAACTCCATAGTCTCCCGAGACTGATGGATGTCTATTACCCTAACGTTTTGCTTCGGGGCTATTGTTCAAGGGGGCCCGGTCTCTCGATTAAACCCCTCAACCCCTCCCCCTCTAGACCCCCCGTAAATAAATTTCAGTGCTTTGGCCTGATTAAGAGAGAACCTAGGTTAACTACCCATCCGGGATCGATACCCCATTAGGCCGGTGATACGTCAATATTTCAGTGGTTTAATTTCCCAAAAGCACACCCATTTTTTGACGCTGGGGTCGATTGCGTAACAAAATTGGTGCGTTCAGCGATTGTTCCACGCACCTGTTACGGTCAGCGGGACGCAGCACTCATTATTGACATGGGGCTTGACGGCTGAGTGGACAGCGTTCAGGATTCGTAGTCCTGAGGTTCCGGGTTCGATCCCCCGTGGTGGCGGAGACAAATGGGCAGAGTTTCTTTCACCCTGATGGCCCCCCTGTTCACCTAGCAGTAAATAGGTACCTGGGAGTTAGACAGCTGCTACGGGCTGCTTCCTGGGGGGATGTGTAACAAAAAGGAGGCCTGGTCGAGGACCGGGCCGCAGGGACACTAAGTCCCGAAATCATCACAAGATAACTGAGAACCTGCCAGTAATTTCCACTTAAGTTGAACCTATTTTTATTACAATCATCCTTGAGTATTTTTATTACAATCATCCTTGTGTATTTGTATTACAATCATCCTTGAGTATTTTTATTACAATCATCCTTGTGTATTTGTATTACAATCATCCTTGAGTATTTTTATTACAATCATCCTTGAGTATTTTTATTACAATCATCCTTGAGTATTTTTATTACAATCATCCTTGTGTATTTGTATTACAATCATCCTTGTGTATTTGTATTACAATCATCCTTGAGTATTTTTATTACAATCATCCTTGTGTATTTGTATTACAATCATCCTTGAGTATTTTTATTACAATCATCCTTGAGTATTTTTATTACAATCATCCTTGTGTATTTGTATTACAATCATCCTTGAGTATTTTTATTACAATCATCCTTGAGTATTTTTATTACAATCATCCTTGAGTATTTTTATTACAATCATCCTTGAGTATTTTTATTACATTCGCCCTTGACTGTTTCGTAATATAGATTAACGGTATATAATTTGTGGGATCCGTTATGCTCGGTTTGTAGTGATAGTGAAGAACGGAGGTGGTTGGGCACCTCGGTTCACCAGTGTCAAGAGTTCCGCCATTACTGCTTGGCTTCGTATTATATATTTATCCTGGAGCGATTGTCTTAACCTTTTTAGTCTTGGTGATCCTTGTCGAAGTCTAACTGAGGTTTGTCAGTCAATTCATGATCCTCTTTGACGATATTCTGCCTCATGTCCCACTCACTGAGTGGGCGGACATATGGTGAGGCACTTGTCTTCCTGATCACCTGTCTGTCTGTCTGTCTGTCTGTCTGTCTGTCTGTCTGTCTGTCTGTCTGTCTGTGTCTGCCTGCCTGCCTGTCTTTCTGTCCGTCCGTCTGTGTATCTGTCCGTCTGTGTATCTGTCTGTCTGTGTATCTGTCTGTGTCTGTCTGCCTGCCTAAGCTCTGGCATTCTCTTGATGACTAGACCACACACCAGAAATTAGTGAGACGACGACGTTTCGGTCCGTCTTGGACCGTTATAAAGTCGATATTTTGAATGGTCCAGGACGGACCGAAACGTCGTCGTTTCTCCATCTTCTGAGTTGTGGTCTGGTCTTCATATCTTCGGCCCCGTTATTGTGGCTCCTTGTCTGCACCTGGCATTCTTTTGTTCCTAGCACATTTATGGGAATCTTGTTTATACTTTTGTTTGTATTGTGAAACTAGAGAAAAGGGTGTCTGGTGTTGCTCTGGTGGCGGACGCCACATCTTCACTACTCACTATGTTCTTCTCCGTAATCATCTTAACTATACATTGTCACACCTCCCCTAGCCTTCACCCTCTCTCCTAGCCTTCGCACCCTCTCTCCTAGCCTTCGCACCCTCTCTCCTAGCCTTCACCCTCTTCTCTAGCATTCACTGGCATGGCATCAAATGTCTGTCCCCCAACCTTGAACACACAGATACATAGTCTTTTATAGATATAGATAAGTCATGAGTATCTTGAAGAAACATTAAAAGTTAATAAAGGTCCATTTTTTTTTGTCTTTGCAGGTCGACTCCGAACCTAGACGAGAGTGAGGATGGGAGCATGGTGACCAAGAAGTCTCCCATGTACTCCCACCTGCAAGGTGCCTCGTCTTCGTCTGGCATGGTGGGCGGCCGCTACTGGGACGTCACTATGGGGGCCGACGACACCCCGGACCGGGAGGACTACGCCCATCACCTCCGCTCATCTTCCTACCAGTTGCTTCACTCGAGGCAGCTGTCGGCCCTCAGCTCCGGCTCTGCTGGCTCCTACCACAGCAGACAGCACTCCAACACCTCTAATTACAGCGAACCTGATGACCTGAGTCCTGGAGGGGACCACGTGTCTGGCCACAGTCACCACCATGGCATGGATCGCGCCAGGTTCTTCTCCTACGACAACCTCAGTCCGGAGTCGTCCGGTCAGAAGTACCACGGGTCGTGGAACATGTCTGAGCCAGATCTGACCCTGGCGCCGCCACCATATTCCCCGCCAGGACCCGGCTACCAACACCAGCAGCCGCCTGTGTCCCCGACTGTGCCTACGTCGCCTGCGCCGCCGTCGACGCCAGCCAAACACTCTCCTACGTCTACTTCGTCATCGAACCGTCACCCATCCTCGCCTCCTCCTCCCCCCGTGCGTGACGCCTCTAGTCTAAAATATATCAAGTATGGCCCAGGGCATGAAAAGTATCCATCGTGGCCCGTGCCGGCGGGCAACCAGGTGATACAGCACGGGTCTGCGCCTCACGATGCTAACGTGTCTGGCCTGCCTGACTCCAGCTCCCAGTCCCCGGCACCTCAAGGCTCACACCGCTCCAAATCCTGGACGGAACAGTCGGAATACCCCAAGGAGAAGGCTGGAGGCTACGCTCGTCCTTATAACAAGAAGCCTTTAAATCAGTCCTTTCAGAGGCAACTCAAAACTGTGATGGAGAGATCTGAAAAGATTCCAATGGAAGTGTTTCATAACAGTATTCGAGTGGATGTGTTTAGTTCCAATTATTCGTTTATGGACTCGTATTACAAGCCTTCCAACTCGTACTATCCCCTGTACGACCGTGACGGGCGTGCCCTGGACGATAAGGACTACAGCATCCCATCCCCGCCAGAACGGGATCTGGGGATGGGCGAGGCCACACTCAGTCAGGTCACAGCGGAGCAGCTGGACGAGTATGTCCGTCAGTATGAGGAGTTTGGTTACGCTGATTTAATTGGCACGACGCCGCTCTTGGACCAGCTGCGACGCGAGTCTGTCATGTGGGACGGCAGCTCTGAGCGCGACTCTGGAAGAGGCGAGAGTGAGAGCGTCGCTGACAGCGCTCGCTACAGCAATGGACGCGAGAGCGTCACCACCGTTGTCACCAACTCTTCGTCTGCATCATCTTCGGAAACCCTCAAGTGGCATGGCTCTCTTTCTGATATATCTGTGATGTCGGGCAATTCCCGGGACCCGCGTTCAGACCACAACATCGTGCATAGTTCGCGCGTGCAGGCACCTCAGCGGCACAACAGTGAATCGGTTCTTTATTACGGTGGGGACAGAGGCAAGCCTCCCCATGGAAGACTTGGCCACGATTCCCGCGACCACCGGGATTTGCGGCGCTCTATCCGTGACACCGAGTCTGGCTACCCAAGACCATCACGGGAAGGCAAATGGAGTAGAGAAGTTGAAAAAAATAACGAAATGAATAACCTGAAGAAATTCCCTTCTTATTCCTACACACAGCCGCTTTCCCAGATCACGGAGGCACCTACAGCGGAAATGCGGGAGACTCCCAGGTCGCCCACCCGGTCTCCTCAGAGCCCTACCATAGACTTCAGCAAGCCTCCGTCAGTGGCAGAGCGGATTCACGAATTGGAACGACAGTCCCGCACCACCACTGGGCCTGAGAGCACAACCTGCTGGCCCAGGGACCACAGTGGCTCAAGAGAGAGGGACCCAAGGGACCCTCGAGATCACGACGCCCGTGAGCCCCGAGATCCTAGGGACACAAGGGAAATGCATGAACTACGAGACACCCAGGAGCTCGTCCGGAGGCCTCGCGACGATGCCTCGCCACAAGAGATTCGCGAACCAGTTGACAAGGCGGAGACTCGCACTCAAAGAGAACTCCGGGAATCTGGTGAGACACGCACTCACCAGAGGAAAGGTTCGCGAGACTCTCAGAGAGGAGACAGGGACTTGCGGCTGGATTTCTCAAGATTAGACCGGAAAGCAGACGGTGCTCACTCTTCCTTAGAGACTCTTCGATCTCCTACAACGCCTGCGTCTTCCAGATCGCCCACACAAAAGGATCCTGACGGAAGGCCATTCGTCCATGAGAATTTCCAAAACTTGCTAAACACTTTCACGGAGGTTGATAGAGTTGAAAGACTGGACCGCCCTGATAGACAGAGCAGTAATGTGTCATATTCCTACTTAGATCCCGAGAAGAGACGCAAAGTGCCGGACGCTACCCTAAAGAGCATTCAGAAACAGGCCGTGTTGTCCTTCTATGAACGCCACACGGGCAAGAGCCTAGGTTGTGCCTCTGTCAGTGATCTCAGCTCGGCGAGCAGTCAGTCGAGTCTGATATCCTCCCAGTCAGCTCCGGAGACGTCACAGGGGAAGTGGGCAAATGTGTCCCATTCGGTCTTGAACCAGAGTATGCGGACGGACAAATCTGGGAGAGCAGGGAAGGGGCTGGCGCGCCTAGGCCGAGTTCCTGAAGGTGAAACAGACGAACACACACACCGGCCTGGTCGCCGGCGGTCCATGAGCGGCCGTGACTCCGGGAGTGAGGCTGGCACCGACGACCTCTCTAGAGGAGGCTCTCAGCGGTCCTCCCTCGCCTCCGACGCCGCCGCCTCCCGGAGTGAACAGCCGCCGGCACTGCCTCAGAAGCAGCTGCAACTCGTTCATCAGGAGGTGAGTAAATCTTTTGTTCAAGAAAACTTGTTCTTGTTCAGCAGGTAGTAACGGTGGAGTCGCGGAAATTGTGACCGTATTAATCTGGTGATTCATTTAGTGAATTGCCTCGTATTTTGTGAAGTAATGTAAGAATGGCTTTGTTCTATTCGCGTTATCGTGTGGGTGAGCTCACCACTTGTTAAGAACTCAAACACTCCAACCACACTACCACGTAAAGCTCTACTCTATAACCCCAGCTCTGATTCTCAGATTTATCAACCTTTCATATTTCTTACTTTTGAGTGTTTAATATATACAACGAAAAATAAGTCAGTAGTGTTAGAGACTTTCTGAGACCATTTCAAAAGATTTCTCGCAAAAAAAAAAAAAAAAAAAAAAAAAAAAAAAAAAAAAAAAAAAAAAAAAAAAAAAAAAAAAAAAAATTACTTCATTAACATGGACCGGTTACATGTACAAAATGGGGCCTGACAGCCGAGTGGATAGTGGTCGGGATTCGTAGCCCCAAGGTTCCGGGTTCGATCCCCGGTGGAGGCGGAAACAAATGGTCAGTTTTTTTTTCACCCTGATGCCCCTGTTCACCTTGAAGAGCGACATGAAGACCCAGACTTGAAGCCCCCCCCCCCAGACTTGAAGCCCCCCCCCAGACTTGAAGCTCCCCCCCCCCAGACTTGAAGCTCCCCCCCCCCAGACTTGAAGCTCCCCCCCCCCCAGACTTGAAGCTCCCCCCCCCAGACTTGAAGCTCCCCCCCCCAGACTTGAAGCCCCCCCCCAGACTTGAAGCCCCCCCCAGACTTGAAGCCCCCCCCAGACTTGAAGCTCCCCCCCAGACTTGAAGCTCCCCCCCCAGACTTGAAGCTCCCCCCCAGACTTGAAGCCCCCCCCCCAGACTTGAAGCCCCCCCCAGACTTGAAGCCCCCCTCAGACTTGAAGCCCCCCCCAGACTTGAAGCCCCCCCAGACTTGAAGCCCCCCCCCCAGACTTGAAACCCCCCCCCCCAGACTTGAAACCCCCCCCCAGACTTGAAACCCCCCCCAGACTTGAACCCCCCCCAGACTTGAACCCCCCCCAGACTTGAAACCCCCCCCCAGACTTGAAACCCCCCCCCCAGACTTGAACCCCCCCCCAGACTTGAACCCCCCCCCCCAGACTTGAAGCCGCCCCCCCCAGACTTGAAGCCCCCCCCCAGACTTGAAGCCCCCCCCCAGACTTGAAGCCCCCCCCCCAGACTTGAAGCCCAAAGACTTGAAGACCCAGACTGGAGCATCGGAGAACTATGATCAACTTTCAGCAACTGTATTAAGGAGTATAAGGTACAGAACATTCTTTGATTTGCTCTAATACGGAGCTTCATATTTTTTTTTTTTCGTGGAGCAGGTGGGGGGGGGGGAGGCCTAAGACATACTGGGGGGAGGGGGGAGGCCTAAGACATACTGGGGGGAGGGGGGCACTGTCTTCGCTATTCTTTAAGGAATCACAGCTCATCCTAGTCTAACCTGGAGGAGGAGGAGGAGGAGGAGGAGGGAGGAGAATAAGAAGGAAGAACACGATAGCAGCCGCCTCCTGACCTGGGGACGAGGGGGGGGGGCGGCGCAGTACGATGGAGAGGAGGAATGTTTATCTGTAAATAACTACTTGGTAGAGCTATTTCTGGGGACTCCGCTTACTGGCTTTGTGTCTGGTGTTGTTTAACGGAAACTGGGGCCAGATTCACGAAGCAGTTACGCAGGCACTTACGAACCTGTCCATCTTTCCTCAATCCTTGGCGGCTTTGTTTACAATTACTAAACAGTTAATGAGCTCCGAAGCACCAGGAGGCTGTTTATACCAATAACAACAGTTGACTAGCAAGTTTTCACGCTTGTAAACTCTTTAATAAATGTAACCAAAGCCGCCAAATGAGGTTAGAGGGGTGCGGGACGAGGCCAGAGGCGTGGAGAGGTCTGGCTGGGGTTGTGAGGCTGTAGAGGCTCTATCTAGCAGTCCAGTAGAGGAGAGCAGGGAGGCTGGGCTCTACTTACCGACCCGCTGCGCTGGCGTGGAGAGGTCTGGGGTTGTGAGGCTGTAGAGGCTCTATCTAGCAGTCCAGTAGAGGAGAGCAGGGAGGCTGGGCTCTACTTACCGACCCGCTACGCTCCACAAAAACTGGCCGCCGCTGCTGCAAGGTTCAAAGTTGAATACGCTGAGTCACATTCTTCTCCAGAACAACTAGAGTCAGGCGGATGTACCCTCGGCCATTCTCCCTTCGAACACGGACCCACTACAATCACCCCAGCAACCAGGAGGCCTGGTCGACGACCGGGCCGCGGGGACACTAAGCCCCGGAAGCACCTCAAGGTAACCCCTCTCCACGACCTAATCTATGAAGTTGTATTATTTCCTTGTTCAGAATGTCGTTGTATCACTTGTGTTACGGAGAGACCAGATCCAAAGGCTGCAGAAATGTGTGTTACCTGCCCTACAAGACCCCAAGACTAGTTACCTGACCTGAAACACCCTCCAAGACGTTCCACCTGACTTAAAACACCCTCCAAGACGTTCCACCTGACCTAAAACACCCTCCAAGACGTTCCACCTGACCTAAAACACCCTCCAAGACGTTCCACCTGACCTAAAACACCCTCCAAGACGTTCCACCTGACCTAAAACACCCTCCAAGACGTTCCACCTGACCTAAAACACCCTCCAAGACGTTCCACCTGACCTAAAACACCCTCCAAGACGTTCCACCTGACCTGAAACACCCTCCAAGACGTTCCACCTGACCTAAAACACCCTCCAAGACGTTCCACCTGACCTAAAACACCCTCCAAGACGTTCCACCTGACCTAAAACACCCAAGACGTTCCGCATGGCCTAAAACACCCTCCAAGACGTACCTCCTGACCTTAAAGATAGACCAAGACGTTCCATCTGACCTTAAAGACAGACCAAGACGTAGCAGCTGCCACAGCATAAAGCAAGTCCCTGAAGGAGGAGGAAGCATAAGAACTAACTCAAGACTCAAGACAAATAAGAATGAAAGAGATAAGATGAAACTTGAGAATGTCAGGAGATCATAAGAGTCCCCAGAGATGATGTCTTCCTGTACACAACAAACAGCAACAAAACATCTTCAGACGCAACATTCTCATCTAGTCAAATATCCGGGGTTTACCTGGAATGTACCTGAAGTAGGTTCTGAGAGTTCCTCTACTTCACAAACCCCGCCGACTAGGATTTAATTTGTGATAAATTGATCTATAAGGAGATGATGAATCGCTATAACGGGGCTGGAGAACAGACACTAACGAGAGCCGGTCGGCCGAGCGGACAGCACACTGGACTTGTGATCCTGTGGTCCCGGGTTCGATCCCAGGCGCCGGCGAGAAACGATGGGCAGAGTTTCTTTCACCCTATGCCCCTGTTACCTAGCAGTAAAATAGGTACCTGGATGTTAGCCAGCTGTCACGGGCTGCTTCCTGGGGGTGGAGGCCTGGTGGAGCCCCGAAATCGTCTCAAGATAACCTCAAGAGAGCAGTAACGAATGTGGTGTTAGTTGATCTATAAGGCTGTTGGTGACAGCGGCCCGCAGGCCCACATATCCAACACGTCCCGGTTGATGAGACACTTCCTTCAGGAACTTCCAATTGTTTCTTGAGCAATTGTGTTCAGGACAGGCAGCGTCTGGGATGCTCTCGGACGCAGGTTCGAATCCTCGTCACGGCCCTTGTGGATTTGTTCATTTAATTGTGTTCAGGCTGTCAGTGGCCAAACGTCGACCAGGAGGCCTGGTCGACGACCGGGCCGCGGGGACGCTAAACCCCGGAGGTGCTTCCAACTGGCCAGCACCACTAACAGCTCGGTGAGACACAAGCCTGATCTTCAGTCTAGACCAGATACAACTGACAGCCTCGTCAGAAGTTTTCCTCTGTGACGATTGATAAAGATTAAGCTACCCAAGAGGTGGCACGGGCATGAATAGCCCGTAACCTCTGTGACGTATGAATGAATTATACAGCTGTTGTGGGGGTTGTATGCTGAGAAAGGTCAGTAGCTGGCCTATTGTATTGGAGGGGGGGGAGTAGAACCTGGGGCCAGATCCACGAAGCAGTTACGCAAGCACTTACGAGCGTGTACATCTTTCCTCGACCTTTGACGGCTTTGGTTACATTTATTAAACAGTTTACAAGCATGAAAACTTGCCAATCAACTGTTGTTATTGTTATAAACAGCCTCCTGGTGCTTCGGAGCTCATTAGCTGTTTAATAATTGTAAACAAAGCCGCCAAAGATTGAGAAAAGATGGACAGGTTTGTAAGTGCTTGCGTAACTGCTTCGTGAATCTGGCCCCCAGGTTCGTAAGTGCCTGTATAACTGCTTCGTGAATCTGGTCCCAGGATCGTAAGTGCCTGTATAACTGCTTCGTGAATCTGGCCCCCAGGTTCGTAAGTGCCTGTATAACTGCTTCGTGAATCTGGCCCCAGGATCGTAAGTGCCTGTATAACTGCTTCGTGAATCTGGCCCCAGGTTCGTAAGTGCCTGTATAACTGCTTCGTGAATCTGGCCCCAGGATCGTAAGTGCCTGTGTAACTGCTTCGTGAATCTGATTCCCCTGGATAAGACGAAGAACAGGCTTCCTGTCCCCGACAACGGGAACTGCTATTACATCTGTGTACTTGCACGAAAACTTAGTTGGCTGTCGGGAGAGAGGAAAAACAAAATATGTTGGTCATTGAATATAATATATTTTAGATCTGTTAAATGTCAAGTATTGGCACGCTTGACGTGGAAACCACTCGTCTGAATAACGTTAATTTACGCATGGAAAAATGCTGGAGGTACCTATTTACTTGCTAAGGTGTATAGGGGCATCATGGTGAAAGAAACTCTGCCCATTTGTTTCCGTCGGAGATCGAACCCGGAACCTCAGGACTACGAATCCTGAGCGCTGTCCGCTCAGCTGTCAGGCCCCTTCCATGGCCCCATTTTTGTAAAGCTTTGGCTTTTGGCTTTTTTTAAAGCTTTAAAAAAAGTTTTTTTTTAAGCTTTTTAAAGTCTTTGTATATTAAATGAGACTAGGAGGTATGGCAGGAAGTGCAAAATAGCACCATTGAAAAGTTAGATGTTCAGTGGTGTTTTTATGCTGACAGACAGTGCTGTTTGCGTGAAAAGCCTAAGACTCTCCCTCTGAGTCTTAGACCCTAAGACACCCTCTCTAAGACCCCTCTCCCTTATGCACAAGAGGAGAGGGTCGGCCAAGACTTACCACGGTGTTAAGCAGAAAA